TTTCATTTGTATAACAATATCGTCACCTTAATTTCACATTTAAATGCTAATTTTCCTATTATGCAATTTGACCCTTACAGAATAAAGTTACTTGTGATCAAATTTTACTTTTGGATTGTGTGTCTTAGTTCTAACCCAAAAGAGGTAGTAATTTTTCAGGTCCCAGCTCTTGAAAGTCCCTCATTCATAACTTTTATCCTTATATCTTTTGGGGGAATTTAAAAGACATCTCAGATATTTTTTAATTGCTTTTTTCTACATGGCAAACATGCAAAGGGCAAAGGCAGTCATGCATCCATGCAAATGTATTCCCTTTGTTACTGTCACACCCAAGGGAAAATTAGCTGAGAAAAGTTCTGATGTGTTTTGTTTTCTTTCAGGTTTGAGACATCCCATCAGTGAATACAATCCATGCCCAGCTCAGGAGGTTGGGGGCAGGAGGTGGCTTTTTGTTAACTATGGTTGAGAAATAAAACAGTTACAAATGAGATTTTTTTTTTTAGTGGTGAAGTCAGCAATATACTTTAGTAAGTGATTCTTATTTTAAGGATAGCATCTACTGGTATAGTGTTGTCAGAAGCATCTTTGGGATTTGATACAGCTGAGGAAGGAACCAGCTATGACTTAAAGTAGGACAATGGAAATTATCCAAACTCAAACTCAAAGAGAAAAGAAGAGCAGGAAAAAAACAAAACAAACAAATGAAAACAAAACAAAATGAAACGAAAACTAACCCAGATTATCTCGAAGCTGTAGGATAGTGTTAAAGGTCTAGTATATAGACACAAAAGAATTCCATGAGGAGGAGAAAGACAGAATGAGAAGAATAAATATTTGAAGAATAGCTGAGAATTTTCTAAAATTATTGACACCAAACCACAGATTAAAGATGATTAGAGAGCACTAAATATGGTAAATATGTAATCCTCATAAACCCTCAAATAATAGGCATTTAATATTCAAACTGTTAAAAGCAAAGTATAGAGAACATCTTTAAGGTAAGTGGAGGAAAAAATGCTCATTATCTAGAGAGGAATAAAAATAAATATTATCAGAAACAAAGCAGGCAAGACGACAATGGAGTGAGATTTAAACGTTCAGAAATAAAAACTGTGAATGCAGAATTCTATATTCTGCAAAAAACATTTTTCAAAATGAGCAAAGTTCAGGATTTGTTTTCAGACAAACAAAAGAGGTAAAGGTATTATTCTCTATAATACATCGCCAAGTTTTTCAGGCAGAAGAAATAAGGTATGTCAGAAACTGATTAATACAAAGAAATAAAAAGTCTCTAAAACAGAATGTATTTTAGTGGGAATTATTTGGGGAATTTTATTTCCAGGACAATTTTTAGAAAAAGAGCTGTGATTAGTTTTTGCCAGGGAGATAGGGAACAAGTATTATTATTTCAGATGTCATACCAAACCATGTGGCTTTTTACCCAAAGTGGAGAGTTGTTTCCTTGAAAATGTGAGCATCAAATAGCTCTGACGGCTGTTGCTCTCCCAACCACAAATTTAATAATTATGATTACCCAAAGTCCTAAATATCTAAATTCACAGAATACAGAAACTGCTCAGTTGGGAATCTTTTGTTCCAAATGGCTCATTTTCTGATGAAAAACCTGAGAGAAATGACCACAAAAGCAATGACATTCTCAAGTTCACAGAGCACAGCAGATCAAGTCAGGACTAACTTATGAAATGTGACTCAGGCTCCAGTTTCTTTTCAATTTCACTCTACCAGGGGTCTCACAGTCTGTTTTCTGTCTATGGGGTTGCTTGCAGAGTGTCCTATTTAACAAAAAGTTGACAGGCTGGGTGCAGTGGCTCACACCTGAAATCTTAGCACTCTGGAAGGCCAAGGCTGGTATTGCTTGTGCTCACGAGTTTGAGACCAGCCTCAGCAAAAAGCGAGACCCTGTCTCTCCTAAAAATAGAAAAACTGAGGCTTCAGCCCAAGAGTTGAAGGTCGCAGTGAGCTATGATACCACGGCACTCTATCAGGGTGACAGCTTGAGACTCTGTCTCAAAACACACACACACACACACACACACACACACAACAAAGGGTTGATGAAAAGGGGGTCTCCAGAAACTGATCTTGGTTCCTGGCATCATTTGACTGATGTTTTCTTTCCCCATTATTCCCATTATCCTTGACCAGTCCCTCAACCTCATAGGTAAACACAAACATAGGGAAGAAACCAAGTTAGATGATTCCAATTTATTATGCAAATACTAATAATTGAAAATGCATAAGGAGATCACAAAAACACTAATAGTTAAGGATACTACACTGCATCATTGGATAGATTGAGTAGGAGCAAGAAATTGAGTAGGAGCAAGAAATTAAGGTATGTGTTCGTTGGTCTTCATGAAGAAAATCTTTAAGTTGAAATTTAGACAGATAATGTAGGACAATGACAGTGCGGCAAGCACTTCCGCTGTCTTCTCTGTGTGTGTCTGGGTTGGCTGTACGATGAAAGGCAGGTAGGGCTGGGACAACATTTCTCAGACCATTCTTGAGGAAAAATGCAAAACTGATGTGATGTACGCGAGAAATATATAGTCAGTGATGTGGTTAACGTAGGAATTGAGTTGGATAAAAAGAGGTCCACTATATTATACAATTGTGAAGACAGACTGAATGTACTTCTAGAGGTCCTAGCAGTCCAAGTTTAAGAATCTGGATGTGAATATACAGAGGATGCCAAAAGAAAAAGGTATACATATTTTAAGAAAGGAAAAAACTATATTACAATTGGATTTCCCAAGTCACACTTGACTTCTGAAATGCTAAGAGGTGCTCAAATGTGACTTGTATTCAGCTTTTGTTATCAGTATATATTGAGTATTATAATTTTAATACACTTTTTCCTTTCTTAAAATGTGTACACCTTTTTTTTTGACATCTTCTGTATATAATACAGAAGTGATGTGATTGAAACCTACATATGATAAAGAATGGAGATGCAGCTTAGGAAACTGCACGGTGAAAGGTTATGTTTTTTATCTTTCTGTCAAATTGGAGGAACAAAAGTTTATTTTAGAAAACAGAAGATGGAAAACCAGAGGTCCTGAAGTTAAGGCGTAACACGTCTCCAAATCACCTGTGAGACTGTTGTTTTCCCTTTCCTGGTGTAGAGAAATTAACATCTACCTCTAACCTTTTAATTTTGGCATCCTAAAAGCATGAAACGTAACTAGTTGTTGTAGTAACTAATTGTGACTAACACCTCTAAACTGGTTTTTCAGTCCCTCCTCTGGACTCTGCTGCTTACACTAAAGGCATGAAATATTTTTTTCCCCTCTCTTAGAAACTGCAAACAGCAATGAAGTCATTTTGCTTACCTTGATTTGGCTTCATTACTTTCTATTCCCAGTCTACCATCTTATTCATCACACATGCCCCCATTCTCGCTCTCTAAAGCAGTGGTTCTCAACCTTCCTAATGCTGTGAACCTTGAATACAGTTCCCACGGGTCTCGACCCACAGATGGAGAACTGCTTTGCGAATGTTTTATTCCTTCGCTCATCACAATGCCCTGTCTGGAATTCCTCTGTACCTGAGCACTCATTCATTCACAGTTGCTGTTCCTTGCCTCCTTTCCATGCCTTCCCTGGAGTTGATTTATCACTGTACACTTTTCTCTTGCCCAAGCCAACAGATACTGTCTCTGTGATTACTATTCTCTCTTTATCTAACCTTCCTCTACTTAGGTACCTGCTGTATATTGTTCCACAATGAACTTTTCTGACTAATACTTATATCTTCCATTTTAGATTTTGTTCTTACTTTTCCCTCTGATTACCTTGTGGGGTTTAACTTTTATCTCAAAATAATTCTCTTAGAGTGCTTTTATTTAATAATGGTCTCTCTTGTAATTACACTAAACCTCTATCACCCAATTTTATCTTTACCAGAACTCTGTGTTGGTTGCCATCAGGCCCTCTCCAACTGCTTTTGCTCAGTGGAAAACTGAGTTTAATTTAGGTCCATCTGTGGTCTTCTTCTACCATTCATATTTCTGGCATTCTATTATTTTTTCAATATTACCAGGTATTTTCCTTTGATCTTAGACTCAGCTACTTAATGTATTAGCCAACCAATTGGTTGTCTAACTTTATCCTTTAACTTACTAACAAGATCCACCCATTACTTTTCTATGTTTTAGATATGGCTATACTTCTCCATTCTTATTGACTACATTTCAGCTCAGGTCTTTATCAATTTATTTTCTTTTATCATAAATGTTTCATTAAATGGCCTGTCTGCTTACAGTTTCCCTGTTTTTACCTATCCATGTCACCAGATAATGGGTAACTTAATAAAACTCCCCACTACCCATACATAGATCTGTAAACGTTATTGAACATGCCAGTGAATTTGCTGATGATTCAGGCAATACACAGATTTTTATAAAACTTTGTGTCTCTGAAAAAATACATTATCATTTAGGGGTTATATATTTGCATATATAAAGTTGTATATAGTGTAAAATGTATATGTGCGTGTATATATAAGTTAGTAAGTTAAAGGAGATATATATGTATATATATATAAAATCTGCGCAGGCATGGGCAGGTGGATGCATACCAGGCCCAGCTGTAGCAACTGTGAACTCTAAAAAGACCTAAGAACCAAATATTATCAAACTATCAAAGTTTAACTCAACTCTCAACCAGGTTTCTTCTTGTTTTCCCTATTTAAACAGTTATAGAAAGAAATATGTTGACTTTTTAGAAGGGATAGATGAATATGAGATCATAATATAAAACAAGAAATATAAGAATCCATCACATCTACAAATGGGAGGGCATAGTTAAGTGAGCAGAAGCAACAAAAACCAAAATATTGCCATCTGGAAAAAAAAAAAATCTAATGTAAGAGGGAAAGATTGTGGAGAGAATAAGAATGCTTCCAGTAACCCCTTAAACAAAAGACCTTGGCTTTCTCCACCCTTGGGTGTGAATCCAAATTTTCTGGTCATGTGATTCTTATGAATCAGTAGGTGGAGACACTTCCACTCTCTCTTCCAACACACTGTAAATTGGTGAATATATGTTTAGTTCTTCATAAAGACGATCATCTGGAACCTGATAAGGCAAAAATCATTCCATTATCAGCCACCAAGAGTTTTCCATCAATAGAAGCCTTGTTCAAGAGGCTTATCTCAGCTCTCTTTGTCTTTCTGAATCTTACACTCTCTTTCCTTACACTCTAATCATACCCCCCATCTCCAGAAAAACAGATTGGCTGGCCAGGCAGCAAGGCTCACAGCTGTAATCCCAGCACTCTGGGAGGCTGAGGTGAGTGGATTGCCTGGGTTCACAGGTTCAAAACCAGCCTGAGCCAGAGCAAGACCCTGCCTCTAAAAATAGCCAGGCATTGTGGCAGGTGCCTGTAGTCACAGCTACTCAGGAGGCTGAGGCAAGAGAATTGCTTGAGCCCAAGAGTTAGAGGTTGCGGTGAGCTATGATGCCACCATACTGTACCTTGGGTGACAAAGTGAGACCGTCTCATAAAACAAACAAACAAAAATAGATTGGTTTGTCAAGAGGGCACTAAAGAAATTATGTCAGTCAATGAAAAGTTGGTGAAATTATTCTTTAGCACAGGTATATCTGCTGTCTTTGTATATCTCTGGAGGAGGGTGATTCTAAAAAGTGTCCATACTTAAATGCTTCAGATGGAGACAGTGTGCTTCACTCATCGGGTTTGAGTGAGTACGCGTACATGTACCCAGTGCCCGTGATTCTCATCAAAGGCATAACAGATGGGGGAGGCAAGTGGAGATGAGGTTGGTTATCATGAATTAGGAAGGAAGGAAAATTGAACCTTTAGCAGAGGTGTCCAACCTTTTTTCTCTGCTACAAGGTTGAAAGAAGAAAAGTTGTCTTGGCCACACATTAAATACACAAACACTAACAAAACCTGATTACCAAAGTGGGGGGGAATCCCTGCAAATTTTTCCTGATACCCAACACTACAGATAAGCAAAAAAAGTCCTCGCAAAATCAGCATGTGGCCAGCAGGAGGCCATAGGTTGGACATCCCTGCTACAGAGCAAGTAGGAAGGGAAAAGTTGAGGAGAAGAAAAAGAAGAGAGCAGGAAGAAGTTTACAAACTCTGTTCTGGGATGCAAAATGAGGCCAGATACCTGAGGGGTTCCATTACACGGAGTTGCACTTTCATCCCACGCTCATCGCAGGGCATCTGCATTTTCTAAAATTATAAAGATCCTATTTTTCTAACCTTCAGTGAGGAGTGTATATGATGATATTTGTGCCACATGTAAGTGTAAAAATGTGATTTAAAATATGAGATTAGGGGCCAGGTGTGGTGGCTCACACCTGTTGTCCCAGCGCTATGGGAGGCTGAGACGGGTGGATCACCTGTGCTCAGAGGTTCGAGACCAGCATGAGCCAGACTGAGAGCCAGAGTAAGACCCCATCTCTACCAAAAATTGCTGGTGTTCTGGCAGGCGCCTATAATCCTAGCTACTTGTGAGGCTGAGGCTAGAGAATCGCTTAAACCCAGGAGCCCAGGGGTTGGCAGAGGTTGCTGTGAGCTATGATTTCACGGTACTCTACTGAAGGACAAAACATGAGACTCTGTCTCCATAAAAAAAAATAATAATAAAATAAAAGCAAAACAAAAAAATAAAAAATAAAATAAAATATGAGATTTAGGAACCAAGATAATAAACCTTGGACAAACAATTTTCTATAAGAAACGTTCCAGGCTATTATTTTTGAGGGCTCAAAATCAAATTCTTTAAGATTTAGTATCAGGACCTGCCTACCTTACTCTTTAGGATTTAGTATCAGGACCTGCCTACCTTACTCTTTAGGATTTAGTATCAGGACCTGCCTACCTTACTCTTTAGGATTTAGTATCAGGACCCTGCCTACCTTACTCTTTAGG